CCTTCTACTGTTGAGAAGCCTCTTCAGAAAGGTGAAGAAGAAAAGCAACTGTTTGTTACTGGAAAAAAGAAATTTGAGTTGAGTCCTGAATATGTGAGAGACATGTCACCTTATCCTGAAAGATTCAAGAAAGATGCTCAGAAGCAGCAATATGCCAGATTTCATTATATCTTCAAAAAGTTGTATGTTAATATACCCTTTGCTGAAGCCTTGGCTAATATGCCTAATTATGCCAAATTTATTAAGGACCTTTTGTCAAGAAAACACAAGTTGCAGGAATGCCAAACAGTGACACTCACTGAGGAGGTAGTGCAATAATACAGAAGAAGTTTCCTTATACGCGTCATGATCCAGGGAGTTTTAATATTCCTATTGCCATTGGTAACACAAATGTTGGCAAAGCTTTGTGTGATCTTGGGGCAAGTATAAATTTGATGTCCTTGTCAGTGTATAAATCTTTGGGGATATCTGAGCTCAAACCTACTATGGTTTCCTTGCAACTTACTGAAAAATCTTTAAGGAAACCCAATGGTATAATTGAAGATGTCCTTGTGAAAGTGGACAAGTTCATCTTTCCAGCAGATTTTGTAGTGTTGGACATGGAAGGAGGAACTGAAATGCCTCTTTTGCTGGGTAGACCTTTATTGGCCACTGCTCGGGCCATGATTGATGTTGAAAATGGAAAGCTTGAGTTAAGGATGAATGATGAGACCATTACCATCAACGTTTTTGACTCTATGAAACAATCTTCTAACAAAGGCGATTGTTTTAGACTTGATGTTCTAGAGCAAGCGGTGAAAGAAGAAATATCTTCTAGTCAAGAGCTTGATGAAGAACTTGAAGCGCGTGATATTGTTCCTTTGAAGGAAGAAAAGAATGTGGCGTTGGAGGTTCTTGAAAAAAAAGATTATGACAAAGAAGATGGTGCCCCTAAAGTGGAGTTGAAGGAGCTTCCTGAAACTCTTAAATACACATTCTTGGGTGATGAGGAGACTTACCCTGTTATTATTAATAAGGGATCGTCTTTTGAGTAAGAAAGAAGGTTGATTGAAGCGCTGAAGGAACATAAGACTGCCATAGGGTGGTCTATCTCTGATTTGGAAGGTATAGATCCTTCTTTCTGTACTCACAAAATTGACATGGAGGATGATGTCAAACATATGAGGAAACCTCAAAGGAGGCGTAATCCTACAATGAAGAAGGTAATGAGAAAGGAAGTGGTGAAACTCTTTGATACCGGTTGGAGGATGTGTGCAGATTACCGGAGGTTGAAGGCCGCCAAAAGGAGAATCTGTGAAAAGAGACACCGAGACTCTATCTCTCAGAGAAAACAATACTTCAAATAGTTCTTCACCTGGCTTCATGGTTGGAATCAAATCTGGGAATGGTGGTCTCATGCACCGATGCATCCAGTACCACCAGATCCTTCATTTGCTGAGTCATCCCATGCTGCTGAGGGGGATGACATGGAGGATTGATTATATCTCCTTGTTGTCAGAGATTTCTTGTATATTATTTTAGTTTATGTTTTTGATATTTTTGCTATTTTATTATGACCATAGGTTGATGTTAGGGTCATTTAGCTGATTTGAGTTGGTATATTTCCCAAACACTCTGATGTTTTATTGTGCACATATAGTTTATCCTATATGCTGCTGTTTGTTCCACGGTGCAGGTTTTTCATCCATCTTTTGGTTTGACTATTGCTGGGGACAACAATTCTTTAAATCTGGGAATGGTAGGCTTTCGGAAAGCACCTTGGAGCTGCACTTCTTCTATCAAGGGAGATATTTTAAACTCTTTTAAATTTTTTCTATTTTTAGTTAGTTATTTTGTGTTATTTAAAAAAAATAAAAAAATAAAAAAAATTCTCAGGTTTAAATGTTCTTATCCAGTTAATGTGCTTGAGTGAATTTTAAGAAGTATGTTGTATGACATTCTGGCATGACATTGCATAGGTATAATTGGATTACATGATTGCTCATTTGTCTGAATTAATGTTGTGAAATTCTGATAATGTCTGAAGTCAATTTTCTTGAGTCTATATTGAAACCATAACTGTGAGGTTTGAGCTTAAACACTGAATTTTCTTGTTGAGAGACCTCACTGTTGTAACACTTTATAACTTGATTTGTTTCTCTGTAATGCATGCATTGGTTGAGAGGATAAAGGCATTTTGTTCTTGTTAACTATGGCCAAAATAGCCCACCTGTATGAAATTTTTTCATTGCTAGCCCCTTGAGCCTGAACTTAATTTGTTGATAAATGACCTGTGGCCTGATTGATGGTTTAACTTATATCCATGTGACTTACCTTGATTGAGATTGAATTACTGATGTTTTGAAAATTAAAACAAAGAAATTGAGGTAAGCTCCACAAAGTTCAAGTAAGTAGGGGATGTAGATGTCATTTGTACCCTTATAAAAAAAAGGGTGAATGTGCATAAAAGGTGGCTGACAGGAATTAATTCCCAAAATTCTGTTGGAATTTTAGTGGAGCAAAATCATTGAGTTAAATGTGCTAAAGTGAAAGAGTGTCAGTTTTTCAATCTCATTGTTGTTTGAGCTACTATCTATATATTCCTACCCTTTAACTTGGCCAAGTTACAACCTGTGAAGTCCTTTTGATCAATTGGTGCATGTGTTTGATTCTTCATTTTTAAGAATTTTTGAGAATATGATCAAGCCTATGGTAGTGTTATAGCTGTGATTGATTGAGTGCTCATGATACCCTTAAACATTGAGTGTTGAGTGGACATTATTTATCTATGTGAGGGGTAATCAATGTAGACTTGTATCTTTAAGAAGCTGATGACATTGTTGGGAATTTATGATATTGGGTCAGTCATGCATGGCATATTGTGTCTGAGAGTGTCTATGGATTGTTATGCTAGATGAATTGATTGTTTTCTGGATTGAGTTTTGTACATTGCTGGGGACAACAACGTTTAAATCTGGGAATGGTTTGATATGCCTCTGGCAGATGTAGTTTTCTAAGCTAAAATTGATAAGGATTAAGTCATAAAAGAGCAGTTTATATACATATTTGCTTAGTATATTGACTTTTCCATGTCAATGATATTTCTCACCTTTTGGTTGTGTTTATATAGGTAGAAGAAGAAGAAAATATAGAAATTACGAAAAGCTTGGTGATCTGATTCCACTCGGGTGGAAATTCAATGCTGCATAAAAATTGCTGGGCCAAATTCCAGAGAATTGGCGTAACTTAGCGCCACACTGGCGCAAGTTTGTGCCACCATACAAGGCCAAATTCCAGAGAGTTGGCGCGGTCTAGCGCCACAGCTGCGTGGATCCGCGCCAGTTTGCGAGACAAAAGTACCGTGTTTTAAAAGGGCAAACTTGGAAGAAGGAAATAGGGCATACAAAAAGGAGACTGTACACAGAAAAATAAAACGCTAAGTCTTGCGAATATCTTGTTCATCTTGTTCTCCTCTTTTCCAATTTTCAGTTCATGTTGAATATTGATAGGTCAGTCATGATAATGGTTGGCTAGTTTCTTTTTATTGTAGTTAGGGTCACGAACCCTATGTGAACCCTTGTTACAACGGATTGGTTTATAGTTATTCGTTTATATAATTATCTTTATCTCTACCCTATGCGTAATTTCTGTCTTCGTTGTTAGAACTGATCAATCTAATAGTTGATGATAGTTTGAGGGTTAGAACCCTAGATAGGAATATTGGGGTTTTGATCTTGAAAGGGGGTAGGATAATAATTTCTATGCATGCTAGGAATAGATGTATATTTGATTGCAGATGCTTAACATATTGGGTTCATTGCTTAATGCCATAAGGATCATACGTCTCTCTCTATATGTATGTATATATATATATATACATATATATATATATATATATATATATATATATATATATATATGTATATATATATATATGGTTAATCGGATGTCAAGTCACTTGACATAAGGATTTGTCAAGTGGGAGAATTATAATCATACAAAGGTATATCATTGATAAAGGAAGAGAGAGAAATATGATATCCATTTTCGATCAATAAAATAAGAAAAATAAATATCCAAAATGACGTAATTTTGGATGACAGGATGGTCAAGTGACATGATAAATAATTAATATATATATATCTCTATATATATATATATAGGGGTAAGATATTGTAACAATATTAATGTTTCTCATATTGTCGGAGATAATATGAATTAATGTTGCTTATATTGTCGGAGATAATTTTATCTCCTACACACATAAAATGTGTAGCCCACTTTTTTTTTGTCTTCTCTTCACATGGGCTCACACATTTTTATATGTGTGTAGAAGATAAAAATTATCTCCTATATCATAAGAGACATTAATCTCATATATATAAACACTATTATATTATAGAATATCAAATCCAGGTTCTCTAAAACATGTAGCATATAATTTAAGGGATTAAAGTTTCTAAAATTACTTTAGATAATTTTCTCGAATATTCATCAAAATATACACATAAAAGTGTGTAAGGTTCGTATTTTCTTTTTCTCTCTCTTCTCTTCACATGGACTCCACACATTTTTTATGTATATTTTAGTGAACATTAGATAAAGTTATCTAAAATAACTTTAGAAACTTTAAACCTATAATTTAAAAAGTAAAATATAAATTAAAATGGATGATTTTTTTTTTAAATACTTATTAACTCCACCCTTTACTCTAAATAGCTTTTCTACCAGATTACGTTGTTGTTGTTGTTTTTTTTTTTTCGAAATTATTCCAAGGGTATCCCCCAGCCTAAAGCCAAACGCGATCGTGGGTGCAGCTTCTCTTAACAAAGCATTTTCTATACACATGGCTAGGGATCGACCCCTATCAACATAATTAAATGATCCAACTATCTATCAACTATGTCGGATTTTGTTGGTTCAGATTACGTTTTTAGAAAAAGCATCAATCACACCAAATTGATGGCAAACAGTAATGAAACAAGACTCAATCTCAACATAAATATTCTTCATTTGCAATTGTCATTGTCAATTTAAACTAGTATAGTACAAACTCAAGTCTGGTATGTAAGACATCCGGCGCCATTTCTTTAAGTCAAAAATGCCATTGCATCCTCATCTAACTAAAGGTATGAGGAAGTACTCCGCATAAAATAGCTGCAACAAAAAACAACTCAAATTAACAAGAGCTGAGAGCAGATGATTTAGTTCAAACAAACATGTGAAAGCAAATATATGAGGAGGTTACTATCAGATTAATTGGCAACGATTCATCTGGACAGTGTTGAATTTTTCACAACTGTTAATCACCAAGAGACAAGAGGTATTCATTGTAATCCTTGTTATATTAAACTACACAACATTGGTGCTATTATATAGCAAACCAATTGAAGAATACAAAGAGACACACTCAATGTGGGACTTCTATACTATGTACAGCAACACCCCCCCTCAAGGTGGAGCATATAGATCGTATACACCAAGCTTGTTACATATCTGGTCTATCCTAGGTCCTCTCAAAGACTTAGTAAATACATCAGCTAATTGATCATTTGAGTTGACAAAACGAGTGACTATATCTCTTGAGAGAACCTTTTCCCTAAGGAAATGACAATCTATCTCAATGTGCTTAGTCCTTTCATGAAACACTGGATTTGAAGCAATATGCAAAGCAGCTTGATTATCATAAATGAGAGATGTTGGGCCAGTGTCTCCAAACTTGAGTTCCTTCAGTAGCTGTTTTAACCAGATGAGTTCACAGGTAGCTGTGGCCATGGAGCGATATTCTGCTTCAGAACTTGATCTAGCAACTACACTTTGCTTCTTACTTCTCCAGGAAATCAAGTTATCTCCAACGAATACACAATACCCAAAAGTGGATCTTCTATCAATAGGAGAACCTGCCCAATCAGCATCTGAGTATCCTACAACTCTGGTATGACCTTTGTTTTCATAGAGAAGACCTTTGCCAGGAGCAGTCTTGATGTACTTGAGGATACAGATTACTGCATTCCAGTGATCTTCACAGGGAGAATTCAAGAACTGACTTACTACACTGACTGTAAAGGAAATGTCTGGTCGAGTAACTGTGAGATAGTTCAGTTTCCCAACCAATCTTCTATACCTTTCTGGATCAGAAAATAGCTCCCCCTGATTTGGTAAAAGCTTGACATTTGGATCCATAAGAGTATCAATGGGCTTAGCATTTAACAATGCTGTTTCCTCAAGAATATCCATAGCATATTTTCTCTGTGATAGTACAATGCCATCTTTGGATTGGGCCACTTCTATCCCTAAGAAATATCGGAGTCTTCCAAGGTCCTTTGTTTGAAAATGATGGCACAAATGTTGTTGTATCTGAGTTATGCCATGAGTATCATTACTTGTAATGACGATATCATCAACATATACTACCAAATAAATAGAACTTGAATCAGAGTGTCTGTAAAAGACTGAGTGATCAGCCTCACTTCGAGTCATGCCAAACACGTTGCACAATAGTGCTAAACCTTCCAAACCAAGCCCGGGGAGACTGCTTTAGACCATACAAGGATCTTCGGAGACGACAAACTAGGTTAGACTCCCCCTGAGCAACAAACCCAGGAGGTTGCTCCATATAAACCTCTTCCCGCAGATCACCATGGAGGAAATCATTCTTTATGTCCAGCTGATACATAGGCCAGTGATGAATGGCTGCCATAGTAATAAAGAGGCGAACAGAAGTCATTTTCGTCACGGGAGAAAATGTGTCACCATAGTCAAGGCCAAATATCTGAGTATAACCTTTAGCCACCAAGCGGGCCTTAAGACGGTCCACCTGACCATCCGGACCAACTTTAACCGTGTATATCCATCGACAGCCAACAACAGACTTCCCAGAGGGAAGGGGAACCAGATCCCAGGTACCACTACTCTGAAGTGCACTCATCTCATCAATCATGGCCTGTCGCCAACCAGAATGTGATAACGCCTCACCTGTAGTCTTAGGAACAGATACAGAAGAAAGAGAAGAGAGGCAAGCAAAATGGGATGGTGAAAGACGATGATAACTCAAATTTATTAAATACCTGGGAGGGGGACGAGAATCACGAGTACCTTTCCGGAGTGCAATGGGCACATCAATGTCAGACGGAAGGATCGGAGCTGCCGGAGGAGATGATGACGGAAGTGAGTCCACAGGAGCCTCAGTAACAATAGGGGCAGACTCGGTGGGGGCAGGGTCCTGGGGAACAGGGGGTCGTTGCCGATGATGATAGACCTGGAGGGGGGAACAAGGGCGGGAACAGGGACGGGGACATCGAAAGAAGGAGATGGTGAAGGTATATAGTGAACTGAAACAGGTGGTAAAGGTAGCTGAGTAGCAACAGAATCACTGGGATGGGAGGAGGAGTCAAAGAATGGAATAGACTCAAAGAATGTAACATCCGCCGAGACAAAGTAACGACGAAGACTAGGAGAATAACAATGATAACCCTTTTGTGAGCGAGGGTAACCCAGGAAAATACATTTATGTGACTTAGCAGATAACTTGTCAAGACCAGGACTGAGATTGTGGACAAAACAAGTAGAACCAAAGATGTGAGGAGTGAGTGGGTACAAAGGTTGATGGGGAAACAACACAGAATGTGGTGCCTGATTATGAAGTACGGAGGAAGGCATCCGATTAATGAGATAACAAGCTGTGAGGACAGCATCGCCCCAATACTGGAATGGGATATGACCATGTAACAAAAGTGTCCGAGTAGTCTCAATTAGGTGACGGTTCTTGCGTTCAGCAACCCCATTCTGTTGAGGGGTGTGTGAACATGATGTCTGGTGAAGGATGCCGTGAGATGCAAAGAAGGTTTGAAACTGATGAGACAAATATTCACGAGCATTGTCACTTCGAAAAATGCGAATCGAAACACCAAATTGAGTAAGGATTTCATTAAAGAACTTGTTAAAAATAGAAAACAATTTAGACCGAATTTTCATTAAAAATAACCAAGTACATCGAGAATAATCATCGATGAAAGTGACAAAATATTTGTACCCCATAGTGGAAACGGTACAACTAGGACCCCAAATATCTGAATGAACTAAAGCAAAAGGAGACGAAGACCGACGACTGTCACGATCGGGAAATGAACTACGAGTGTGCTTCCCTAACTGACACGGCTCACAAGACAAACTAGATAAATTTGAGAAACGTGGGACCATCTTCTGGAGCTTAGCAAGATTTGGATGACCCAACTGAGCGTGGATAGTAAGCGGAGAATCCACAACAGAGCACACTGGAACAGAAGTTGAAAGCTGATAAAGGCCATTGGACTCAGATCCGACGCCAAGTGTCCTCCTCGAGCTCCGATCCTGCAAAATGACAGACTCTTTAGTGAAAGAAATAATACAGTCAAGGGATTGAGTCAAGCGGCTAATGGAAATAAGGTTGAAAGGAGAATGAGGAACATAAAGCACATTCTCAATGGGAATATAAGGAAAAAGGAGAACAATGCCAATCCCTTGGGACTGAACCAGTGACCCATTAGCCATAGTGATACTGGGCAGGGGACCAGACGTACAAAGAGAGGTAAATAAAGACTTATTACCAGAAATATGGTCAGATGCACCAGAATCGAGAATCCATGGACTAAGAGAGGACGAGTGAGAAACACCAGCAAAAGAATTACCCGTGTGTGCACTAAAGGCAGTGGTACCAGGAGGTGGCTGTGATCCAGCAATCAAGGCAGAGTCCGAGGCAGGAACAGTAGTCTGAGCAAAATTAGCGGAGCGAGGAGGGCGACCGTGAAGATCCCAGCAACGATCAATAGTATGGCCCGGCTTTTTGCAATGAGTGCAGAGAAAGCGTCTCGTAGAGGGTTTACTTCCACGTGCAAAACCCTTGGAGACAAGGGCAGATGGGTCAATTGAAGAGGGAGCAGATACTGCAGGCTCCATAGAAGTCTTAGGTGGAATGCGAAGCAACGTAGACCAAACAGAGTCCAGCGATGGAACCAGCAACGAAAAGCAAAGAACTGCCCGTGAATAGTGACCAGCAACGGAAAAGACACCGTAGGAAGCCGAAACGAAGTCGAAACAACAAAGTGAGGACAGATCCAAGTGCGCAAGGAGAAGACGAAGGGAACCGTGGTGGTCCGACGGCCAACCGGAGTGGGACGCGCCGCCACGCGCCGCTGCAACAAACGGGTTACAGCCGCTGTTTGACGCGCGTGGAGGAGGATCTGAGGATGGGTCCTGGACAGAAAGGAGCGCCTTCTCATGGCGATCAGATCGATATGGGTTTCACCAGAAAAGTCGCCGGAGACGGCGGTGCCTAATGGCGGCAGTGATCAGACAGGTCCGTAGACGATATATGGAAGCCGGAAACTGACATATATGACTGTTGCCGGGGGAAAAAAAAATATTTTACTCAGCAGACAGTGGTCCACCGGAAAAAAAAAACGCGGATTAGGATTCCTCTTGTTAGGCTCTAGATACCATGTTAATCACCAAGAGACAAGATATATTCATTGTAATCCTTGTTATATTAAACTACACAACATTGGTGCTATTATATAGCAAATCAATTGAAGAATACAAAGAGACACACTCAATGTGGGACTTCTATACTATGTACAGCAACAACAACATATCAATAAATGACTAAGCTCACAATCTTTTATTTTTCTCTTTTGGTTTGATCAAAATACTGAAAGCAACAGCTCACTAACTTAATAATATTCTTTTAGGCAATAGCTCCGAAATTGTGAACGAAATTAACTGGCTTAAGCAAGTGAAGGTTGGGTGAGAAAAGAAAATTGAAGGCCAAACCCATACCCTTGTCTAGATGTTACAATTTACAATAGAAAAAAAAGGTGGGGAAGGGGTTAATTAAATTAAAATAATTAATTTATATTAATTTAAATTATATTATCAATTATAATTAATTATATTATAATAAAAATGCGCGCCAATTTTTCTGATTCCAAGTCATTAGATATCAAACAACTTTGAATTCTCAATACAAGGCAAAAGTAATTAGATGGCTATTTCTTTTGAACAATCATTTTATTGTATAAAGTTAACTATTAAGCAATGCGTATCAATCTTGAAAATGAATTCCTAAAATGATAAACAGCCTCGAAGGTTGGCGATTACCTTCCAGATAAACATATAGAAGGATGTTATGGCAGCCTTGCTTTTCAGATCTACAGACTTGGCTTGATACCAGAGGACTGAAGCCAGAATGGCATGTCCCAGACCCTAACACATTGAAAGTGAGAATAAACTTCAAACTTTGCTGTAATGATCAAACACATCCACATTCACTATATATCATTCTATATAATGAAAGAAGATAATTTGAAATTTTTTGAAGCAGCCTAAACTTTCTCCTTAAATAATGCCTCCTTGAAAAAGCCATTTTATCATTGACAGTACAAATACCAATACCATACATAAAATGATAAAATCAGGATATTTTTTGTAACAGAGATTTCTTTTCCAAAGGAGACATTTCCTTTTTTTTTTTTTTTTACAAACATTTCCTTGTTTTAGTGTAAACATAACTGGATTCTGCAGTGCTAGCTCAAAAAGCAGATAATTAATGAAATTTTGATAATTAACCAACCACTGTAATGTAAAGATGCAGCATGAGAAGGAAAGCGAGTATATAGATCAAATTCCTTGAAACACACTATTCTACAAATATTGTGCTAGTCAAAATCACACTCATATCATTATCCCCCAAGAACAAAAATTATAAATGCTCAAGAGGCAAAAGGATACAGCTCAAGTTGTTAAGTGATTGACCTTCAATAATTTTATATTATATCTTTCTAACACATCTCTCAGGGCAAGAGCCCTTTCGACTTAAAGTGTGGACATTACATAGGCCCGTCCTTTTGGATTCTACCTTGTGCTGACTTAATTCTACTAAAAAATAGGGGCGGTAAGGATCGAATTCATGACCCTGTGATCACGGAGGCTCTGATACCATGATAAACAATCATCTCTTCTAAAAGCTCAAGTTGTTAAGTGATGGGCCTTCAATGGTTTTATATTATATCTCTCTAATAGTAACCTATACAAGTAATTAACACATCACCGTGGCTGTTTTGCTCCAGAGGCATGGAGATGCTGCTCCAACAAGAAGGGCAACTCCATAAGCCATTTCAAGAAGTGAAACACAAATCCAGAATACCTGGCAAAGATTAATCAATCAGAGAAAACCATAGAAACGTGAGAGCTCAACCAAGCCTTCTGAATTGTTGCATAAGACTCATACCCGCTTCTGACCCAAACGCACTGAAAAAGATTGGATACCAAATTTTTTATCTCCTTCAATGTCAGGTATATCCTACATAAAATCCAGCATAGGTTTTTACATCAGGTACACATGTTGGACCAGAAGTCTGATATATGAAAAAGAAATGCATATTTTAAGGAACCAGAAGCTTTTACCTTAAACAATGCTATAACTACAGAGAAAAAGCTCATGAATGTCGTAGCAAAAATCAGTGATCTTGAAAACATAGGTGGTCTCTTGTACACACAGGTCTGGACATTTTTACACGTATTAGTTTATATGTATTCAACTAAATCAACCCAAAAACTTCGATAAAGATTTGTTGCTGCTGTTACGTGTAGTAAAGCTAATGCATGCACATACACAACAATAGAGCACAATTCAGTAGGACAAAACCTGCATGTGAAGAAAAAATGCAAGTTGAACTACTACTGCCCGAACAACCAGGATGCACATGGCTGCAAGCACTGAAAATTTCTTCCATCTCAACAAGGGCAACTGAGAAATTTCAGATACAATGAAGTTATGAAAACAATGAAGTCACCATCAAATGAGAATTCTAAGAATATAATATTCGAATCTCACTTATATAAAGCATACTAGTGTCACATAATGTCCCAACTCTTATAAACCCTTCCTCTAATACATAGTTTTCCTCCTAAAAGGAAAATTAAGAGAAGTAGATAATGTATAACATTTATTACCATGAATTTTGACCGGAACAATACCAATCCGAACTCTATAAAGTACAATATAATGGGAATGGATCGTCATGTCTCGTTTAACATGTTCATCACTCAATCCTAATTAGCTATTTCTCTAGTCTCTCATCACATTTGATTTGTCTGTGGGAACTGGAATCGTCTCACATGATATGATCTAGTTAAACAATATAATTCCCTGATTTTGAAATGAACAAATTGTACAATTACCATTTTCATAGTTATACCCTAAATAATGAGAGAAAGGAAGTTTAAATGCCATCCAAATGAGCTCACATTGATTGAATAAGCAGTTCCTAGTACAAAACTGATGAAAAGAGCCCAAAATAATGGCCATGAACCTACAATCCACCCAAGCCAAAAACTCTGTAAAAGAGAATAAAACGATAAGCCTTCCTTCTGCCTTGTCAATGAAGGTTATGTTGAAAATATATCATTAAAAAAAGCACACCACAAAAGGTAAAGTTACTGTCATCATACTCTTTCATTAATATTCAGCACTAAAACCATGTTGTGTTAGTTCAATTGCTTGGGCATCAGAGAATGTGCAACCAATGCTGCAGTAACTTAAAATTTCATCGCAGGAGGCTATAGAGAAAGAGGATATAAACAAGAAAAATATTAAAAAGGAAAGGCTTTGAACATAGAATACAGTTTGTAACAATCTCTGGTAGGGGGGAATCTAATAGTCTCACCAGAAGCAAATAGAGAAGAAATAAGCTAGATTGGTTATTACAAATTTTAAATTTTCATACAACTTCTGATATTAAGAAGAGAATAAAACAAACAAAAATATGTGTGTATGTGTGTGTGTCCAAATTAATATCAAGTATTTCACCAGTAACAAAGATACTAATTGGTTCCTTAAAACTAATAGAAAAAGAATTTACATAAATGACGAGGAAAATCAAGCAGGAAATATGATGTTCATCAAAGTTTCCGAAAAGGATTATTCTATATACTGTACCAGAATTGAAAATGATGCAACAATAATGACACCAGTTCCAAAGGAATATTCCCCTGATGCCAATGGAAGATATGGCTTGTTTATCTGCAATAAAACATGTAGCACAAGTCAATAGTAAGACAATTCATATATTATTTGCTCAAAAAAGTTAGTGAACCAGTGGGCTCACAGATGTACCCTAGGAGGGTGTAATATGTATGTGTATAAAGGGGAGTGTGTATGGGTAACTAGAGTAGCTCTCCATAGAGGCAGAATAACAGAATAAGTGTAGAAGAAGATGATCCTCCTCTTTAATGTGTGAGGGGTATTAAAAGAAAGAAAGTTCCTCTCAAGCGTGGGAGAGAGAAAGCATAGAGCTGTCACCCAGCGGGCCTAACCTTTTCGGAGTAGGTATGCTGCCTAATGAGCATGGGGCATCAGTGCGAAAAAGGGGAATAACCGAGTAATAAGTGTCTATGGCTTTTTATGGGTGTGTGTGTCTGAAAAGTTCCTAAGTATAAGTTTTGATATTGGACCCAACCGATTGAGCTTACAAATGTAGGCCGGACAAAACAGTTAGTAAGCAATAAAAAGGTTGTTTGTTTTTACCATGTTACAAGCCAGAATAATTGACAGAGATGCTTGATAAATCTATTTGATGTAATACTATTATATAATACAAGTTTCTTTATGCAAATCTTATGTCAGGTGTCACTTTTATATTCATTTTTTTTATTTCATAATATTTTTCACAATTTTGCACACTCTTTAATTCTTATTTTCATATATGTATATTTTCAAAATTAAAAAAACAGTACAATACATCCACTGCAAAGTTAAAAAAAATACTGTAAAAATATTAATTTATGTTAATTTTTTTTTTTAAAAAAATATTATATATTCAAAGTGTAACCCAATTTCAATTTAAAAATACACCAAATCTGTAAATAAGTTATAATACCTTGTCTATTTCAACATCAGATAATTGATTCAAACCAACAATATAAACATTCATAAAAAGTGCAGCTGTCACAGCCTGAAACAGAAAACTCCAAAGTATTAATAAACACATAAATTGGGAAACGCATGAAAATAGCATTAGCCATTGAGACCCCACCTCCAACACCCCAATAAAATATGGCAGAGATATATCTGATAATTTCTCCACTGCAAGGAGAGACACAGATATTATGCTTAATGCCTGTACAAACACAAACAAAGTAAGCCCTTTTAATAAAAAATTCCGAATATTACATTTATAAAAAATTAGAGGTTCATACAATGAATTGGATTAACAATAACAATGAGTATTATTCAAAACCTTTGACTTAACTGTACCGATTACTGTGTGTGGCCTGCTAAACCTGTAGAAAGCATCCAAGGCATCTTTGAAAGAACCCCAAATGCTTCTTGAATCATGATCTTGAGGTTCAGATTCAAATGATTGTCCAGAGGCTGCATTCACAACACAATTTCTAGCACATTCTTGGGATTTGGATCCTCCTTTGTAGTGATGCTTCAAATTATACTGTTGAGGCCTCACGTTAGGATATTCATTCTGTACTTTCTCAGTTTTGTACCATGAAGCTTTTATTACATAAGAGCCTACAATACCCAATTTTGAATGTTAGTAGCAGTGAACTCGAAAAAATGAAAAATATAAAAAATTTCTTCATTTGGGATGGAATAAACCTATAGCAAAATCTACTAAGAAGGGAAACATGGAAGGGATGAGAATTGGTATCATATATTGACAAAAATGCATCCTTTTATGCGTTTTCCATTCTCATCCATTCCCTTCATTACTCCCATTTTTCTTCCAAGTGAACAAAATTACCAAGATTCAAATATTCTGCAATCAATGTTAATAGCAAGTGAAGAATACACATCATGAAGCATTACAATAATTATTGTCCACAAGGAACAAAGGGAATATTTGACATTTTTATTAGATATCTTATTACAGAATGGGAGAGGTTATACTTACTATTTATTTTTCTTACTACTTGTTACTACTAAATCTTAACCGTTGATTTCCGTCAATTTAACGGTTATAATTTATTGTAAATTAATAATTAATTAATAAGTATGATTCCATAAATTATAACTGTTAGATTGACAAAAATCAACGATTAAGATTTGATAGTAACAAGTAGTAAAAAAAATAAGTAATAAGTATAACATTTCCTTACAGAATAGGCCAGGATCCTCTGCATTTATAAATAAAAACTGCATGAGTTTCTGTTACTAATCCAAAGAATTCACATTTATTGAACTTTACTTACTATTACGGACCTCCACAATGGACCTCTGTATTGGGCATATGGTCAGGCCCAAATCCATTCTCAAGCAAAGAATCCTCTATGAAAAGGGAATTTCACCCCACATGTATGCATTCCTAAAATTCTAAGTCTGTTTGATTGTGTTTTGTGTGTTTTTTTTCTTTTTAAAACTGTTTTGTAAAATAGTTAATGAAAAATGTGTTGTGTTTGATTACTGTTTTTAAAAACAGTTTTTTAGTTTTCAAAACAAAAAAACTCGTTTGGTAAGGTCTGTTTTGTAAAGAAAGTTTTAAAAGCTGTAACTATTTTTTAGAATCAAATTTAGAGAACATGTCTGAGTTATTTTTATTTTCTGTTTTGATTTTTAACTTTCAAAACAAAAAAAAACACAGAAAACAACTGTTTCCGTAATTATTCCACAAAACAGTTTTAAGAACAAAAAAAACCAAAACTCAATCAAACAGGCCCTTTTTTTTGTTTTGAAAGTTAAAAATCAAAACACAAAAAAAAAACAACTCAGACATGTTCTCTAAATTTGATTTTAAAAACAAAAAAAAATTGTTATAATTTTTAGAACTATTTTTACAAAACAAGCCTTATCAAACAAGTTTTTTTTGTTTGTTTTTTTTTCAAAAATCAAAAAACTATTTTTAAAAATAATATTCAAACAGGATCTGGTCTCTTGCTATCACTACACACATACCATCCCTTTTTTAAGGTCTCTGTTTCTTATTGTGCATACTGATTTGCCACTGGTTACTTACAGTCGTTTTCTCCATAGACACCATAAGCCCGAGATCCAACATCAAGCTTTTAATCCACTAGATCAAACCCTTGCCATTTTGTTTTCTCACTCAGATTGTTTGTTTATACAGCTTTAACATAATTGCAGAGGATCTATTCCCTTATTACAATATTATTTTTCTAAATAAATACTATATAGATTGATACTTTCCATATATAGAAAGAGGTTCACTAGCGTACCTCTACATCATACATGTTCTTAATATAAAGCTCATGTAATTATTGTAAAGAAAATTAAAGTGAAATGTTCTACTAAAAAAATAAACAAATAAATAAAGAGAAACAGAAGGAACGATATATTGAACGTACTTGCATAGTAATTTTTACTCCAGCAACTTCCACCTGCCAAGTGCCAATGGTAGTCAGCAAATATTTTTTAAAAAAATGAGGGAATATATACCTGAAATTTTCAGACATATTACACACACACACAAAAATGATCCAATTTTCATGCTATATATACCAGTTGTAACAGGAGAAGCTTTAGGGAAAGATCCAAGAAGCAAAGAACCCATTATATACGGTAACTTTTCAGTGGAACTTGAAACAGAACAAACCCAGTTCTCAATATAGAATGGTTAACAAAGGATAGTGCTATGTATGTAAGCATGAAAATGCATTCATTTACAGAATGGTTGTTAGTTCGAACAAGACAAGTTGCCTTTTCTGAAACGACAAGCTATAGTGCCAATACAGTGGATGCAACTGTTTTCTCCATTGAAAATTCAGCAAATAGAGGGATGTCAGAATCAGAGTGTACGTTTCATTGAATTAACATTTTTTGAAAGTATCGGAATCTTATGACTAATTAATGGAAATTCGTATGATAAGAGTGAAGGTAAATAAAAAGAGAGGTATTCGTTTACAATTTTTTTTAACAAATTATATTAAATATGATTGGTTATACATTTTTGATTGAAGTATGACTGATTATATTTAGTATAGTTCGTAAGAGTTTCTAAATAAAAAGTTTATAAATATAATATTTCCCAAATAAAAATAAATAAATTAGTTATCTTATCAGTATATTGAACAAATTGCTTAGATTAAATATATGCCTGATTATAAATTTTTATTTAATTAATAAATATTTATTATATATTTAAATTATTAGTATTTAAATAATAATGGCTAAAATTTTCTTTGAATAATATTTGGTTAAAGCCTTAAACATATATTTTATAAAGCATAATAGGGAGATTTATATATAAAATATAAAATTATATGATATGATTTAATTTTATTTATTTATTACAATACTTACATGCATTTTTTAATTTTACGTACATAATTTAATTGAAAAATGATATTGTATTTACTTTGGCATGTTAATTAAATTATTTTTTAAATATAAAAATACATATTATTATTACATGTTAATTAATTTTTTTATGCTAACCAAAATCTCTATTTGTTTTTGGTAAGATGGGAAAAAACCTCCAACAGAAAAATTATAGTAAGGAAATATGACGCATTCTACCTGACAGAAGCTAAATCAGCATCAAATAAAAGACTAATCCCACGAAGGGGCAATTGAAAATGCATAGGTTCTCAGCATCCTAAGTTCTCCAGCAGCAAATTGGCAAGTTAGTCCGCATGGAAGTTACCTTTTCTGTATGTGTAGACTGATCAGATGCTTCACTCTTGGTCTATCCAGCCCATACATACTCGAGTAATCGGACGGGCAGCGCGGGCTGCAAAATCTCTATTTAATATAATATCTTGTATTTTTAAAAATATTAGTGCATGCTAATATTATTAGTTAGTATAATTAAAAATATATATTAATAATTGAATAATATAAATTAAATAATTTTATAATATTATTTAAATATTGAGTAAATATCCATTCTGGTACCTGACAAAAGACTCGGTACCCGTTCTAGTCCCTAGCAAAAATAAATTGACCTGGAAGTCTCCAACAAAGACAAATAGATCCCACGTTAGTCCTTCTGTTAGTCCCAAATAGACGGCGTCACTGACGGAGCTGATGTGTAACATTAATGGCCATGCTCAACTGCCACGTTGGAGTGGAAACAACGTCGTTTGGAGACCTGAGTCAACGTTGCTCAGAATTATTTGGAGAAACCCAAAAGTGCCCCTCACCTAACCATTGTTCACTTTACCATTTCCCTCTCTTGAAAGTTGGACACTACATTGTTGAGAAGGAAGACCATCGCTCTGTCAACATATTCCTGCGTTTTGATTCTACAGCAGTTCAACAATCGGAGGGAAGTGGAACAAGAAATATCTTTGGTTTGGTACGAGGCTCATTGTTCTGTATTAAAAGTTAAGACAGTAATGTATTTTGGAACACTTTTTATTGTAGTTGCTATTTGTTGTTTATGGTCGCCATGGAGTTTCTGTTGTTTAATGCGTGTTTCATTCGTGCATGCTCTATGGACAATGTGGTCCATATTTCACTTTAGGGTTTAAAGTAAACAAATGGCTACCGGGTGTGGTGTGGTCCCTGTGTGAGTAAAGTGGTCCAAGGTTGACTTATGCACAATTAAAAACCACATGAAAAGTATGGGAAAAACGCATGTTCACTTTGTCTATTTGTTTATGGTTTTTTATTGTTGTCGAGGTATTATTAAAGAATTAAATAGGACCAGTGTTGGGAGTTTTTTCAATTAGTCATTGGATTAAAGAAAGCTAACTTATTTTTTGGTTTGTACAGATGTCTACATATATAATCATTGTTTATCATCATGGTGGTGTTTTAATAAGAGATGAAGATGGAGTGCTTACCTATGTAAATGGTAGAGTGGACTCACTGCCTGAGATGGATATTGACTACTGTAATTTGTGTGACCTTGACACTCTGTTTAAGGAATTCGGGTATGAAAAATGCAAAAAGATGATGTGGCTAAAGCCTGGTGAACCCGATTTATAACAAGGCCTCAGACCACTTAGTATCGATTCTGATGTATGTGCCATGGGTGAGGCTGCCTTAGGTAATGGCAATGAGATACATGTGTATTTTGAAGACTGTATATCAATTCCTCAGTTTGGTTCACCTGAACATGAAAGTGCAGAGGATAATATGGTTAATTTCATATATAATTAGGATGATGCACAAGAGCCTGATGGGGTGAATTCGGATCATAACATTTCATATGATGATGGGCTTAATGCAGATCATGAGATTTCACATGGTGATGGGGTGAATCATGAGCATGAGAGTGCGGGGATGGTGGTCATTCATCGGAACATGACACTGCAGATGATGAGATTACTTCTTCGGATTCATATGAGAGTGCAGAGGATGAGGCATATAAGCCTCCCCCAGGTGTTGAGGACCATTCAGATGATGAAACAGAACATACTGCACCATGTGGGGGGGAAAAGCATGTAAAATTGACCCCAAGGAAGAAGGCATACAAGAAGGATGGCAGCAATGAAGATTCTGATGATGTACTTGATGAAGAAGAAGACCAAATGTCATTTGAAGAAGATGGATATACTTATCTTTCTGAGGAATTAAGAACCCCTTCTTCAAGTGATGATGATGGGAATGTTAGACCTGTATTGCCAAAGTTTAATGAGCATGTTGCCTTTGGGCATGTTTATTTAGAACTAGGTATGTAGTTTCTGAATTTGGAGCAATTTAAATGTGTTGTGAAAGACTATAATATTAGCCTTAGGAGGCAGTTTATCTGGGTTAAGAATGACAAGGTCATAGTAAGGGCCAAATGTAGTTTTGAAGACTGTAAATAGATGGTGTATTGTGCTTGGAACACCAAGCTAAGCACATTCCAGAAGTTTATTTCAAGAAGACTTAAGAGATCATGGAGTTTATGATTAGAACTTCATATCAGATCAACAAAAGGTACTACTTTATGGTTTATGAATTTATTTATTTATTTTAAATTTCTTGTGTTGATTGATATATAACAATCAGTTTCATTTTCACATACAGCGACTGGTTACTGGTTCCAGCTTTGAAGAAAATTATGCCAGGTGCACATCACAGATTCTGTGACCAATATGTGTGGAAAAACTTCATGAAGCAATGGAAGGATAAAGAGACCAGGGGAGTTATGTGGGAATGTGCTAGATGCACAATTGTTCCCCAATTTCAGAAGGTTAGGCAATGGCTGAAGACCTTAAATGAACCAGCATGGAAGTATCTTGACAATATATATCCATCTTGTTGGGTTAAGGCTTACTATAGTCATTGGCCTAAATGTGACAACATTACAAATAACATGGCTGAGGTGTGGAATTCAAAGATTATGAATTATAGGTCCAAACCTATAATGACTTTGTGTGAGGAATTGAGATGTTACATAATGCGAAGGATGACAGCACACAAGAGGATTCTGCAAACATTTAGGGGCAAGATTGCACCTGCACAACAGAAGAGGCTGAACCAATTGAAGGTTGCCAGCAATGCTTGGACACCTACATGGACTGGAAACTTGGTCCAAGATGTGTATGAAGTCTCTGGAAATGGTCAAAGGGTTGGGGTGAACCTAACTAACTAATCTTGTAGTTGTAATATTTGGCAATTGACTGGATTGCCATGTGAATATGCTATTGCTGCCATTGCTCACAAGAATGAACCTGTAAAAAATCATGTTCATTAATGGCTGACAGTGGATGCTTTTCATGACACTTATGAACACACACTCAACCCAGTCAATTTCCAACAGTATTGGCCATCGTGTGATGCCCCAAAGCCACTTCCTCCACGCTTGAAAATGCCAATTGGACGTCCTAAAAAGCATCGCAAAAAGGATCCATCTGAAGAGCTTATGAAGGCTAACAAGAAACAAAAAGAGTCTTATACAGTTCAATGCTCCAAATGTGGTCAGACTAGTCATTACCCAAAGACTTGTAAGGGACCTGCAGCTCCTTCAAGGTCAAAGCAAAACCAGTTAATGTTGACATTCAATCAAGGACAATTGAAGAAATAGTCATGACTCAAGGATGTCCTGTATCAGAGACAAGCAGCCAGCATGCAACAACTGATGCTCAACCAGGCTCAAGAGCATTAAGAGGCAGCAGCCCACCTCCATTCAATCCTACTGAGGTTGTGTCCAATGAGACACTAACTGCAGCAAGTAGTGGCTCCAGGGCCAGATTCATAAGCTTCATGTCTACACCAGGGTTCAAGCCACCAAGATCAGCCCCATAGAATTGATTGGAATACTGTATAATCAATGTCATTAGGCCATTTTTGGATGCCTCTGATATAAGAATTGATTGGAATTGTAATTAGGCCAGTTTTTTTTTGGAAATACTTTGGTTTTGGCCCTGTTGAAATGTGTCAGTAGGCTTTTTTTGTATGCCTCTGATTATGGCCAAAGTTAATAGGAACACTATGCTTTTTTTGGAACACTATTGTATTGGTCTTAATGGAAATATATCAGTGGGATTTTTTGGTAGGACTGTGGAATGTTGGCCATGGTTAGTACTTGTAACTAGGATATGATGAAATGAATGGAAAATGTCTGGTTACTACTTGTCTTTGCTGTCATTACTCTCTACCGTGTGCAATTTTTAAATT